TTGCTAAACAATTAACTGGCTGCGTTTGGCTTTTACGAGCTATGCTAATTTTCCAAGCGGAGCCGCAGTTACAATAACTGCAAGGACTCAGGGGGAGAATGTCGCATTTCTTGTTTTGTTACTTTGGTGGCCCAAGAGTTTACACTTCGTACGGGAGGGTGACACAGCACAGGTCCCAGCCCAGCCGCCGCTTCCAGCAAGCAGTGGACCTGTCCCCGGTGACATGACCAACCATCACGTTAAGTGACTGACAGAAAGAGGTAGTGGGTTCGGCAACCAACCAGAAAGCCACATTCTGGGAGGGGTGGGCGAGAAGGACCACAGGGACGTACCTTCTGCAAACACTAATCCCTGAGTGAACCAGGGCACCCGCTCCTTCACTTACAAATAACCCGAACCACACCGTCGGCGCCTCCAGGACCCGGACGTCCTCAGCCTCGGGAATGGCAGGGCTCCGGAGGGCCTGGCGGCGGGGCTTGGGTCCCCAGCTCCAGGCATCTCAGCGGGATCCTGCGCTAAGTGGGAAGGCAACTCCAGTTCCCTGCACGGTCCCTCCTGGGGGCTGCGTGTGAGTTATGAAATCCGTGAGACGGGGATCGCACACGGGCATCAAAGCCGAAAAGTTGGGACGCTTCCTCTCGGCCCCCCACTCCTCCTCCCACCCCCACCCCCCATTTTAAACCAGGCAGAGGAAGGATGCGATTATACAAAGCAAAACAGCATTTATCCCACTTCCTCTGAATAACAAAACCAGGCCCGGGCGGGTGGCTCCCTCCCGCCCCAGGCTGCCTCCCCGGGAGCTCCCGGGACCTGGCTCCTACCCCCGCACTCTTGTGGCCTCTGCAGGCCCCAAGCGCCAATAACCCACTTTTTGTTTTAAAATGAAGCCCTTTCTCGGAATCTCCAGCTTTTCTTATGGGAAGGTCAGCTCCAGGGCCCAAGGCGGCCTTACTCAGCAGGGAAGCTGGGTTATGCTTTGTGGTGGGGTTGTTTACCTAGGTCAGTGGGGGAATGGCCCTCCCAGAACCTGGGGGCCCGAGGAAGTGGGACTTCTGACCTCTGGACATGTCTCCCTGGAAGGCCCGAAAGCTGCCTGTGCCGCGGGGCATGTGGGCCCAGGCCTAGGAACCCCTGGGGCGCTCAATAGTTGTCAAACGTATGAAGCCCCTTAAAGTTCCCGAGCCTCTACTTCCCCATCAATAAAATGGGTAAGCAATACAGTGAGGTTCCGGGCAAGACATTTTAGAATGTCCAGAGGAGCCCCGTCATTCCGTGGCGCCCAGTTTCTTTCCGTGAAGCCCAAGCTGGGTGTTGAATCCTCTGAACTCCGCTGCAAAGTCCTCATCTGTTCCCAGGAGGCCGGCTCTGGCCACAGAGATCAGATAAGATAACATGGTTAAAAGTGCTATAAAGCACTGAGCAAACTTGTATTTAAATTCTTTGAGTCCTTAATCTCCACGCCCTTTGAATCTTTTGGAGTTTCTATCAGGGTGGGGAGAGACGCCAGAGGGGACAGCCTCCGACGCCGGGGTAGATGGCCTGGTTTTGTTCACAAAATGCTGTGCACCTCCAGCCTCCAGGGCTGACGGGGCGAAGTGGAGAGAGAGGCGTCTCCTGACCGCATAAAAAGCCCCTCCACAAGCCCCCTCTTGCCCACCTTTCCCAGAGGTACAGCGCGCAGAGAACTCTTAAGGGCCCGGAGAGACACGTAAAAGTTGTGGGGAATGACTTCCAACCTGCAGAAGGCCCCAGGGCCCCAACACGGATGCTGAAGCTGAAGGCGCCACCCCTCTCCTGGGCTGACTCCCCGCCTCATTGCAGGAAGCGGGGTGCGGGTGTGAGGACCTCTGCTGGGTCCCTCTGGGGAGAAGGATCCAAGGTCTGGGGCTAGGGCACCCCAGAGCAGCCTGGCTCGGACACCAGGCCCACTTCGGCCACTGCCAGTCAAGTCATTCTTCTTAAAATAAAGCCTGGGTGTCTGAGAAAGGGGGCAGCCCCAGGTCTCCGCCTCTGCCTGCGCCTCGGGGCTCCAGCTATGACTGGGGTCTGTTGAGCTGGGCGCCCAGGGAAGGCTTTCATGATCACTGAGCCCAGCGGGGCACCCCTCGCTTCAGCCCCGGCCCGCTCCCAGCGAAGCTCCGGACTTCTTCGCGAGGTGCCGGCGGCGGGGACATCAGCCCCGCATCAGCCTCTGCCGCTTTCCCTTCGCGGGGTCCTGCTTCGACGCCCGCGGGACGCAGGGGAGATCGGGTTGTCCACCCAATATCGGGCTAGATTTCAGCCGGCTCATCGTTAAAAGAAGGGCACACCCCGAGGGGCTGTGAACTTCACACCCCGCTTCACTCCCCAGACCCTGGTGGCAGCGAAACAAAATAAAGTGGCCGAAGCTCAGCCGGGGGCGG